AAAAAAAAAAAAAACATCAATGCAGAGCAGCGCGCCTTCTCCAGCAGGGGCCTCTCCGGGCCATCTCAGCAGCGGACATCGCCAGGCAGTACGGCTAGCTTTCATAGGCTTGTCAGATGGCGACTCCCTCTTCTCGGGTAAGACAGCGGTTCCGTCTTTTTTTGTTTTCACCTTCCAGTCCCCGGTTTTGGCCGGCAAAGTCCCCGGCGAATGGGCGGCAGCGAGTTTCTGGAGAGCCTGCGTCTAACGGCTGTGGCTTTGATCATCTCTGGTGGTGGTCGGACTAAGATAGGGCCGTTTCACTTCCCTCCTTCTCTTGATTTCAATGCGTCTATGCCTTTGCTTGGGCGGAGTCGAGTCGGGGTTCGGGTCTCGTGTCCTGTGCCCGGGTCGTCGGGGCAAAGATGGTGGAGCTTGTTGTTGATCTCCGGTTCTGGGGCTATGGGTTGTCTACCAGGGCAGGGCAAGGTTTTTGAGCCTCGAATCTAGTTAGGCGTGTATTCTACAGTTTATGATTTGCCTTGGACTAAGTCTGTCTTCGTGGGTGGTTGCTCGCGGGTGTCCGCGTCGTTTTTGTTCGTTTGGTACATTAAAACATATCAATAGTACATTAAAACATATCAATAGTACAAAAATCCTTAAAGCAGATCCAAACATTTCACTATAAAAGTTCACATTACCACTGCGCAAATCAAAACAAGTCCGTCGTGTGAAGATAATAAAACATCCTCGTCTCATACTAAAACGATAAAAAAAAAAAATCATCCCTTTTGCGCCGAAACATACAAATAACAAAGCATCACACACTCAAAAAGCTTAGTACCTCCTGGGAAAACGTTCAACAAACCTCCCGGACGGGCACTCAAACGCCATGTGGCCTCTCCCCCCACAGTTATGGCATATAACGATGGACGTACAATCCCTGCTGATGTGTCCCACTTGCTGACATGTCCTACAGACAATCTCCCGAAAATACCCGCCCCCGCGGGCCCCACCCCTCTCGTCGAGCATTCCGGCCTTCGGGCAGCTTCTAGCCACGTGCCCGGACACGTTACAAAGGTTACAGACGGGCTCGTTTGTGCAGTCACGTACGAGGTGGCCCGTTTTCCTACAGTTCTTGCACGCCTTGTCATTGGTACAGTCAGCCGATATGTGGCCTTGCTTGAAGCAGTTGTTGCACAGCCTCAGGTCGCCAGGTGGCAGCTGAGGGGCCGAGCAGTCACGGGCACGGTGACCGGCCTTGCCACAAGTGTGGCAAATGCCCTCGTTTGGGCAGTTTCCCGCCATGTGGCCCGGCTCACGACAGTTCCAGCACAGGGATTTCGTGGTGCATTCTGATGCGATGTGCCTGGACACATGTTTGATAGGTTAAAAGGTGAAGAAATACTGAAATAGTCGATCATGCATCGAAAATTTGTCTTGAACTATGGCCATGTTCGGTTAAACTAGCTGATAGCTTATAAGTGATTTTAAGGTGACAAGATAACTTATATGATAAAAGTGTTCGGTAAATTTAGATGATAAGCTAGCTGAAATACAAATTTCGACAAACTTATTTGAAGAACTACCCAAAGAAACTTATAAGATAAGCTCGAGTTTTTTTAAAAAAACTCGTCCTACCAAACTAAATTCATTTGAATATAAGATTACCAAACATAGCCTATATTAATCCAGAAGAAAATAAATAAAGAAAATAAAATGAAATTTATAAGCTACTAAGGAAGAGAGTGCTAGTGGATGAAGACTCTTATCAGTAATCCAACATTTCACAACCAAACATACAAAGATGCAGCTAAGCATGTGAAGTGGATCTGCATTAAGCAAAAATGCAGATCAATGACGCGCTGCAGGCTGATTATAAACATTATATCGTTCTAAGAAATTGAGAGATACAAGACACGAGGAAGTGTACTAGTGTTGTAATCGAATCGAGCGAACCGGGCTTAGGCATTTCGGAGCTCGTGTTCGTTCGTGTTCAAAAAATTTAAAAACAAACTTTTTAAAATTAATTAACTCGAAACTTGTTTGTTCGAATTTCGTTCGAGCTCAAAAATAAAAAAATATAATGCAAATATTCTTATATTTTAAATTGGTTTAATAAAAATATCATATTTGAATATAAAAACAAAATAAAATTAGATTAAATTAATGTTCGCGAACGTAACGAGCTCGTGTTCGTTACATTAGTGAACGAGCCTAATTTTCTATTTGAACTAGGCTCGATTAACAAATGAACGAGCTATTGTCGAACACGAACGAGCTTTCGTTCGCGAACGTTTGGTTCATTAATAGCCCTAATTAGTATACACTAGCCAATAGCATGACAAGGGCCATAAAACGATTAAATATCGCACAACCAACATCATCTCAATCGGAACCACTTACCCAGGAAGACCGCAGTTGTGACAAATGGCCACATTGGGGCATTCTCTAGCAAAGTGGCCTGGCCTTTTACAATTTTTGCACAAATTGCTCTCACTGCAAAAGCACAAAACAACGAAACGTTTGAGATGTCAATGAGACAGCATTTTTCTGGACTTATCAAGGTTAAGCAAAAGTAAATACTTTAACCAAATTTAGATATATTTCCTTTCCGTTCCTTTCATTATTTGTTTCTTTTTGATAACTGTCCTATGAAGAAGGCAGGTACAGCCGCACAAGGGGGGAAAGAAAAGAACTACCATAAGAAACCAAAGATTCACAAACTCCCAAAAGCAGAACCCATGCTACTTCAATCAAAGACCAATATGTTCACGCATAAACAGCGAGGCAAAAACACCATATCCAGTTTACCCTCAGATGTTTCCATTCATCAACTCCCCCAATCCTTCCCAAATCACAAAAATAACAGTGAAGAAAACTAACAAACATATGAATGAATTTAAAACCAAATTAACCTGAAACCCCGCCTCGACTCCCGCCTATACGGTGCATCACGCCTATATGGTGCATCACGATAGGAATACCTCTCAGTACGCATCTTACGAACAACCGGGCTTCTGCTCCTGCTCCTGCTCCTGCTTCTGCTTCGGCTCCTGCTGTCTAAGCTCATTTTCGGAATATCACACTCAACCAAATCACACCACCGTGAAAAAATTTTCACCAACACCACAGCTCAGCTGCTGTCTCCTCCCTGCCCACCACAACCACACACCCAAGACCAAGTCAATGATGTCCATTAATTCTTTACGGGATCCTTTAAACACCAGATTCTCACACTACAACTTCACAATTTTTTCGACACACAGAGTTCCGATACATCGTTTACAGTCCGTTAATGAGTAGAAACGCACTTGCATCCACATCACTGTGTTGCGAGCATCCCCTACCATGAACGCATCACAACTAATCTCAAAGTATACTCGTTTAACATATCAGCTTACAACTTCATTTTATGACATAGCGTCAGATTTTTCACCAAATGTGTGATTATGTACCCTTACCTCTTTTTTTCTTGTCTTTTTCTTGTTAGTTTAAAATTCCCATCTAAGAGCAAATTGAAGATAAGAATGGATGGGAAGGCCTGTGAATAAATCTTATCACACAAGAAAAGGGCTAATGAATTTTTCAAACAACATTTGTTTTCCATTTATTTACATTGTTTTGAGAAATGTTAGAACCAGCAAATGAATAACATGTCCATATCCACACAGATAAACAGCCATGCAGAACATAAAATCCGAAATAACATAACAAAGGCGTAAATGTTACAACAGCAAAATATTGTGAGGCAAGCTAAATGAGAAAAGCCTCATTGTTCAATGACACAATAAGAACAAAACAAGAAACAAGGTACAGGTTAATTAATACCCACAATTTTTTTTAACTACCATCTCCCAATCCAGAATTCTCACCTATAACTGTTGGAAATGGAATCGATGCAGTATACCAAAATCCTAATCTAGAAATCGAAAGCTTCTGATACACAACTCACATCTATAACTGTTGGAATCCGAATCGATGCAGTTGACAGAAACCCTAATCTAGAAATTGGAAAACCAAATCGGAGGGGGAAAATACTTACATGTATTCAAATCGAAAAAACCAAATCAACAAACAAATCGTCATCCAGTAAATACTGGACACCCGAAATGTAGCTTACACTTTAAGATCAATCACTCAGCAAATCCGACCACAACATTTTACCTAGATTACCAATTATACATCTGAAACTATATTTGCATCCAGAAACAACCATTAAAGTAGACACTTAAAAAAAAGGAGATCTACAACCTATAGAAGCAGAAAAATTTGAAACAGCGCATATAACCACACAATTTACGTCAGCCAATAAACTGTAAATCTTGATAAGCATCAATTATCGTACTGAAAACCATGAAAGAGATCAAGAGATACCTCCGCCAAAACGAGGATTGAGGTTGCTAGACTCTGCCGAGTAGAGCTACTGTGTGTAGATGCGTGCAGAGAACAATAGCTCACGGGACGAAAAAGATGCCAGGTAATGAGCTAAGACGAGTTCAGATCCATCATTTGGGTTGTTTCTTTTTTTTTTCTTTTCTTTTTTTTTTTTCCTTTTCTAGTAGTGCTTACTAGACATGACCAAAAAAAGGGGTCGGGTCTGGGCCGCCGGGCTCTAAAACACTGACCCGGACCCGACACGAACCTATACACGTGTCGTGTCAGTAGCCCGATTGACCGGGTCGGGTTCATGTCCGGGCCGGGTCCGACATTTAAAAAAAATCAATAGAAAAAATAAAAAAATAGAAAAAGCGGGCTATTGATCCGAAAATTGATGACCCTGAAACGGTCCGTCTGAAATCCATTCCGGTCCCGGACCGTGGTCAACATGTTTGATCGGGCCAGGCGGCCCTTGGCCATGTCTAGTGCTTACCCCATATCATACACGGACATAAATATTAAATTAAATGACTGATTTAACAGGCTTTATCCGTTGAAATTTAAAAATAAAATAATAGAATTATTATTTATTTTCTATTTTTTTAATCGTTGCGTAAATCTAAAAAATAATAGAGTTATAATTAATTTTCTACCTCCTTTAATGATCGTTGTTTTTTTTTTTATTTTTTGCCAAAACATTAAATATGAGCATGTTATGGCTAGGTTGTAAAATAAATTAATATATTACCCCACTAACATATTTATACTAATAATAATTAATTTTAGTATGTATATTTATTACTTGATATAAGATAAAATAACAATTTTACTTATTTTTTTCACCATATAATACTAAATTATTATTTTATTATAAACTTGTTGTCATATAATTTCATTATTATTTATAAAAGTTATAGAAGTTGTATATCTTATTTTTTTTATATATTATTTAATGAAAAATATTTAATGCACGTTGGTATTATTTATTTATGTAATCAATTTAAAATATGTAAATAAATCTATATATATAAAAAAAGGTTGATGGAAAAATCCGAATTAGAAAGTTTAAATAATTTTGTTGACCTTTTGACATTCTATTATTGTAATTTAGTACAAAATCTTTTTTTTTTTTTT